GGCGGCACTCTCCTCCGCCTCCCCACCTTACTGACTAGAGGTATCGTCAAGGCTTGCACCTCCAAAACCTCCCTTTTGAGTGCTATCCACCCCTCCTCAACTCGCTTATCTTCCAGAAACCTATCCCAGGAGACTTTCCCCAGTCTGGCCTTCACTTGGCCAAAGTTGACCCTCTTGAAGTCCCAGTTTCTAGTGCTCAACCTGCTGCATGTCCCCAGTCCCCTGATCTCAAAGCAAAGAATGGAGTGATCACTCACAACCAGAGCTCCCCTAATCTGTACTTCACCTATCAGCTCCTCCCTATTGGTCAAGACCAAGTCAAGAATGTTTCCCCCCCCTCCTCGCCTCTCGGACCCTCTGTGTGAAAAACCCTCCCTCTATAGATTCTAGGAAGCGACATGACTTGGCTGTCACAGCCGAGTGAGTCTCCCAAGTAATATCCAGAAGACTGAAATCTCGCATAATTACTGTGTCTCTCCCCTGAGATATTCTTAGAATCTGGCCTGTCAGGACATTATCCAGGGTCTCAAGTTGACCTGGCGGGCGATAACATACCCCCACTGTCAGGTCTCTTTCCCTGGCAAAACCCCTAAGTTTCACCCAGACTGCCTCTACCGAATCCTCATCTGTGCTGCATTCTATCTCACTGCATCCTATCCCTTCCCTGATGTATAAAGCCATGCCCCCACCTCTCTTTCCCTTCCTGTCCTTTCTAAAAAGGTGATACCCCTCTATGTTCACATTCCAGTCTTGCCTTTCATCCCACCAAGTTTCTGTGATTCCCACCAGTTCATACCCTCCTATTCCCAGGGGAGCTTCAAGCTCTTCCTGCTTATTACCCATGCTCCTAGCATTGGTGTACGAGCACCTCAACCCCTTCCCACTTCTTCCCTTCCTTGGAGTTCCCAGCCTCCTCCTTCCTCCCATCCTCCCTGATATCTGGCCCCTCCCTGTAGGAGTCCTGTCAGTCCCTGCAGTACCTCTAAAACCCTGCTCCCAGAGCCCTGATCCTCCCCCCACACTTGTCCAGTGCAGACATGTTCCTGGGGGGCCTGAACCTGCCCCCCGGCTCAGTTTAAAGTCTTCCGGACGAAGCTCGTTAGAGCATCTCCAAAGGACCTTTTCCCCATCCTCGTGAGGTGTAACCCGTCCCTTGCCAGAAGTCCATTGGCAAGAAAATGAGTGCCGTGGTCGAGAAACCCGAAGTGTTCCTTCTGGCACCACACCCTAAGCCAGTCGTTTACCTCGGAGGCCCTCCTGTCCCTTCCTGGCCCAAATCCGCGGACTGGTAAGATCGACAAGAAGGTCACTTGGGCCTTTAACTCCCTCAGTTTCTTCTCCAAGGCCTCAAAATCCCTGGTGGTCCCAACCACACCCTTCCTGGCCACATCATTTGTGCCCACATTGATCACCAGGAGCGGCTGGCGACCCCCGGAGTGAACAAGATGCGCCACTCTGTCCTTCACATGCCGAACAAGTAGACTTTCAGATTGTTAAAAAGGTTAAATACTTGTGAATTTATCTTACAGCTAAGTGTACCACTCTGAAAGAAGACAATTATGATAAGCTATCTAAGGAAATTAAGAGTGATTTGGGAAAATGGGCTAATATGCAATTATCTTTGCTGGGAAGAACAGTGCTATTTAAAATGAATATATTATCAAAGCTTTTGTTTTTATTTCAAATGATTCCCATAAAAATTGATAAAAATTTTTTGATGATTTAAATTCTCAAATCTCGAGATTTATATGGAGAAAGTAGAAACCAAGGATTAAATTAAAAATGCTTCAGGAGGCTAAAGAGAATGGGGGTTTTGGTCTTCCTGACTGGATGTTGTACTATCAAGCTTCTGTTTTAATGTGGCTAAAAGAACGGATAACTTTAAGAAATAAGAGAATCTTTTATCTTGAAGGGCAAGATTTGCAAATGGGTTGGCATGCTTATATGTGGTATGAAAAGTGTAAGGCACATGGTTGTTTTTTAAATCATTACATTAGGAAATCATTAATGTCAGTGTGGGAAAAGTTAAAGACAAAACTGTATAATAAATTACCAAGATGGATTTCGCCTATGGAAGCTCTTGTATATCCAAATGCATTGAACTTTGAAGCGATCCTAAGATATGATGACATTTTGGATAATGATGGAGGATTGAAATTGAATCAAGAAATACAAGAACAAAGAATTAATATTTCTTGGTGGCATAAGGTGCAGATACAATCGAGATATGCTCAAGACTGTAGAATGTGGGGCTTCTATAAGGACTTAACATCATTTGATCACGTGATTTTTAAATCAGATGAGAAATGTATTAAAAGATTATATAACTTCTTACTAGATAAGAGAATGGAAGATGAACATGTTAAAGAAACTATGATAATGTGGGCACAAAACGTTGGCTATAATATTGAATTAGAAAAATGGCAAAAGCTGTGGGAGAGAAATATTAAGGTAACATTAGAAACTTGTATAAAGAAAACTTGCATAAAATGTTTTATAGATGGTATTTGTTGCCAAATAGATTAGCCAAAATGTTTCCAAAAATGTCAAATGGATGTTGAAAATGTAAACATAAATGGGGTACCTTCAATCATATGTGGTGGACTTGCGATAAAGCAAAAAAGTATTGGATTAAAATACACAAATGGCTTGATGAAAAGTTACAAAAATCTTTAGCTTTTAAACCTGAAGTGTTCTTATTAGGCATTATACCTGATGATATTAGTAAACAAGAAATGTACTTGACTTTACATGTAATTACTGCAGCGAGGATTGCATTTGCCCAACACTGGAAGAGTGAAGAGCCACCCACCGATGAACTGATCCTAAAAAAGATCTTGGACTGTGCAGAAATGGACAGATTGACTTTGTCACTGAAGGAGAAAGAAGATACTGATTTCTATCAACCTTGGGACTCTTTTTATTATTGGCTAGAGAAACGGGGCTTTCCATAGATTTAAATATGTTCTTAAGTTAACATAAAAAGAAAAAATGTGGGGGGCTGACCCAGTAGGTCTGATGTTCCCGATGACTGATGTTGTTTTTAGTTTTTCTTTGTATTAGCTTTATTTAGAATAAAATTTATTCAAAAAAAGAGAATGCTCAAGGCAGCTAACAACCATCATAAAAAAATTGAAAAGCACATTATCTAGTGCGAAAACACAAAACGGTAGAATAGCTATAAGAACAGAAACCAGCAACAGATAGATACAAAATAATACTCTGTTAAAACTGGCAGTTCAATCAAAACAGCTTTACCAATATATCATATCCCATTAAAGGCAGACTGCCCTGGGAATTGCATTCCAGTGCCTTTGAAGAAATAAAAGAGTGCCTTGCTTATAGTGGATGACTCCTAATCTTTCACACAATCAAGGTTTTTACTTCAAAAACCTTTTCAGACCTAAAAAAAAGCAGATCCCATTTTAATCATCCCCCAGTCATCATTAACACTGGCATACTCATGCAGATTTCAAAGTCCAGCAACCCATGAAGGTTACAACTCTATGCATACTTACTTGGAGCAAATCCTACTGAAGTCAACAGGACTACTACTAAGCAGACATGCCTAGGATTGTGCTGTAACACCCACCTATAGCTGTGCCTGGAAGAACCACACAAACCATTAGTGTGGATTGTAAGTGTTTGTCCTGAAATGCCGGTTTGTATTTCAGGAGATCCCTCGTATGAGAACAGGGCCCACCGAAGAATCTCAGAGCTGCACAGACCAATGTTCAAATCTGGAGCCTCTCTGTCACGTTGGAGCGCATAGCCACGGCCGTTCAGGATCATGCAAGCTGTGGTTCAACACAGCTTGAAGGCACAAAGTTATGAAGGTTAACCTAAAAACCCGGTGATGTCCAAAGGGTAGCCATCTTAGCCTGTTGCAGCAAAAAGAAGAGTTCTCATCGAGGTTTAAAAACTAGCACGTTTATTTTGGCATTAACACGGACCAAAGCCGTCAAATGCATGTAATATTATAGAGAGCTGCAGGATAACATACAGTACTTATGGAAGTTGTGGTAACTGGAAACAGCAAGGTTAGAAGGAATCAGCAGTAAGCTACTGTCTCTTAAATACTGTATTATTGTGCTATTATTTATTCATTTCTATACTACCCAATAGCTGAAGCTCCCTTGGCTGTTCATTGTAGCCTCATCTGGTCAAAGTTCTCCAGTGCTAAAGCAACAAAACACATCACCTGGTGCAGGCTATGGGTTCAATAATTTCACATTTCCACCTTTTTTTAACCTATAGTCCAGCAGAGCAGACCTGTCTGATTTCCCCAGTTCAACTTTCACCAGTCATGTAAGCGCAAGAACATTTCCTGTTGAGAAAGAGCATTCAGGCTAAAGCAAACATAACACCTAATTCCAAGTCCAGTATATAAAAAATCTAGGATACTTATGTTACCAATTGCAGCACCCCAAAATACCCCAAAAGTTGGTGGCCAGAGGAAGACCACATAGTAAAAACACCACAGTTATACTGTCCCAGAAGGGAGGGGGGATAAGAACAAAATGAACTTTGTGTAACCCACAGCTAACACGCTAGCCTGACCTCGAATACAGTAATCAAAGGAACAGTGGAAACTGGTTCTAGCCGCCATGAAAGTTGCAAATGTGCAGGGAGTAAGAACATGGCAAGCCTGTGTGAATCTTGAGCAGATAAAAAATAGACATGGGAAATGTCTGGTCCTTGACAGAAGAAAGGACTCTTTCTCCAGCACGGGAGGGGGTGCCTACATTGATGTACCGATGCATTACATTTGTATTAGGTGACCTAATTGGTTACCTAGGGTATAAAACTCATGTACTGGGGTGCAACTTTCGAGGCACTGCTTTGGGCTGAATGTCCCCTTTTGTCTCCCTTTATTTTATAGTGCACTAGAAGAAAGTTGATTTTGGCTCTAAGTCTTGTCTCAGGCTCTGTTTGGCTCGGGTCTGGGGTCCACTCGGGTTTGCCCCAGCTGTTGACTGGCTCAGTCCGGTAACACTTACCTCTGGATAATGTTGCACAAACAACACGCAGAGGTGTCTTTTACAGCACCGCCCTCCTTGATTTAAAAGGTAAATGTGTTATTTCTGTCCTCTCCGGTTCGACTTTAGACACGAATACTCACACAATTCAAGTAAAAAGGCAAATCAGGTTTCACTGCACTTCCTCGTCTTGGAAGTTTAAGGGTGGAGCCGATTGCCAGTCACGCTGTTTAGCCGAACGGCCTCCTTTTAAAATAAACGCTCCCGACAACGCGCTTTTCTTTCCCGAAGTCCTGGCTGAAAGGCAGTCTGCACCGTCCGTTCATTACACTAAGTATTAATGTCCTATAGTTTTGTTTAAACTTCCAAGGGTCTATCAATTTAAATTCTGTTGTTAAGCTCAGCCAGATGATTCTAGGGGGCACTAGGGGGCCCAAACGCCTTGCGGTTGTTTGCCTTTTTTAAATTGATAAAGACCTTTGAACTGCCTCTGACGCTGGAAGTTCCGCTTGGGTGTTCTCCAAGATTTTGTCTACTTCTCCTTTCATACCATCTAAGGTACATCTTGCAACAGTGAATTATAAATATTAATTATATATATATATGCAAAAATACTTCCTTTTTTCCAGTCTTGAACCATGGGAAGTAAAGAAAAAGGCAAGAGCAGAAACGGTGGTTGGGAGGGCACAAAGGGGAAATCAAGTAATTTCTCCGCGTGCAGGGTTCAATCTGTTCTCTACAGAGCTCTACGCACTCTGCATTTTCCAAACAACAGTAGGGAAACGTAGCACTTAAATCACCTCCGGGGGTGATTATTTTGTATATGCAATGCACAATATGCACTGCTCTGCAGTAACCCAGTCAGCCCTGTTTGGTCGTGGAAAACGCTTCCTTCCTGAAGTCATGCAAACTCCGCTTTAAGACTGAACAGGCCCGCAAAACTAAGTGTTCTTCTTCTGGCAGGGAAATCAAACAGTTGTGCCCCATAAGGGCTGCTGTGCAGTAAATTCTGCTTTCGGCAGGAGAGCAGCCCGTCACGTTACAGGCATGTAAATCCAGGCTGCAACAGTGTGGACCTGCTTCTGCCTCGAGGTCCCATCGGAAACGCTACCAGGGCAGCACTGACACCTAGCGTTAGAGCCAGCAACGGGACTCCCACTTCTCTGTAGCGCTGCAGTGGCTAGAATTAGTTTCTCGCTGAACTTCTAACAGGTGAAGAAATCCCTTTGCTAAAATTCACTGGAACGCTCTACCTGTGCCAACAGCATTGCTGCATTTATCATTCCGTGATAGGATAGGACAGTCACACATTCTCAGCCCAACCTAACTCACAGGGTTATTGTTGTGAGATAAGATTGAGAGAAGGAAGAGAATTATGTAAGCTGCCTTGAGTTCCTTGGTAGGAAAAAAGGTGGGATATAAATAGAATAAATAAAATAAAGAAGGGAAACCTGTTGCATATGCATCTTGTTTGTTGACTCCAGTACAGTGCAGTTATGGACACAGTAGAAAGAAAATGTTTGCAGTTGTGAGAGGATGTGAGAAGTTGCATTGGTATGTCTGTCACAGGAGAGTAAGAGTGGAGACAAGATCATGCATGGTTAGGAAGAAAAAAATAACCTCCTACAACAGGGGTCTCAAACACGCGGCCCGTGGGCCAATTGCTGGGGCGGGTGGGACACGGGGGAGGGGCCCTGCGGCCTGCAAAGCGCCGGCATTGCCTGGGCCGGCCGCGGGATGAGCGGCCCAGCACCACCGCGGTGGTGGAATACTTGATGCGGCCCAGTCTCGCCCAGACTCTACTTCCAGCAGCCCCCAGGTAAGTTGAGTTTGAGACCCCTGTCCTACAACTACCAACAAAGGCTGGGAGTGGCAGGACTTTTGGTTTGTAGGATTGTGCCCTAGAAGAATTAAGCTATCCTCTCTATGCTGCTACTCTTAAATTTGGACATGGTTGCATGCACTGCACATATACACATAAGCCTGTATTAAAGATGTTAGAGTTTGGAAATCGTTCACATGTCTCCTGTCACATCCAGCTTTGCATACAGTTACTCTTTGAAGGCACCATCTTAAAAATGGATGAATGCATTGCATCTTTTTTTTTTTTTTAGAATAGGTTTTATTCTTAATATAACTAACAAAAAGAAACTAAGAAGTATCAATCATTGAAAACATCAGACCTACTGGGTCAGCCCCCCACATTTTTTCCTTTTATGTTAAACTATAAACATGTTTAAGTCTATGCATAGTCCCATTTCTCTAGCCAATAATAAAAAGAATCCCAGGTTTAATAGAAGTCTGTATCTTCTTTCTCCCTCAGAGACAAAAGTCAATTTGTCCATTTCTGCATAGTCCAAGATCTTTTTTAGAATCAGTTCATTGGTAGGTGGTTCTTCACTCTTCCAGTGTTGGGCAAATGCAATCCTCACCACAGTAGTTACATGTAGAGTCAAATACATTGCTTGTTTACTAAGATCATCAGGTACAATGCCTACTAAGAAAACTTCAGGTTTAAATGCTAAAGGTTTTTGTAACATTTCCTCAAGCCATTTGTGTATTTTAATCCAATACTTTTTGCTTTACCACAAGTCCACCACATACGATAAAACGTACCCGACTTATATTTGCATTTCCAACATCCATTTGACATATTTGGAAACATCTTAGCTAACCTATTTGGTGACAAATACCATCTATAAAGGGACTGCAGGTGGAGCAGTGGTTTAAACCGCTGTACTGCTGGGCTGGTAGATCGAAAGGTCACCAGTTCGAATCTGCACAACGGGGTGAGTTCCCGTTGCTCCATCCCAGCTCCTGCCAGCCTTGCAGTTTGAAAGCATGCAAATGCAAGTAGATAAAATGTACCACTTCGATGGGCAGGTAACAGTGTTCTGTGCACTTCGGTGTTTAGTCATGCCGGCCACGTAACCACGGAGACTGTCTGCGGACAAACGCAGGCTCCCTCGGCTAGGAAACGGAGATGAGCACTGCCCCCTAGAGGCAGGCATGACTGGACTTAATGTCAAGGGGAAACCTTTACCTTTACATTTTTACCGGTACCATCTATAAAACATTTTATACAAATTTTCTTTAGATGAAGTTGCTAATGTTACTTTAATATTTCTTTCCCACAATTTTTGCCATTTCTATAACTCAATATTATATCCAAAATTTTGTACCCACATTATCACAGTTTCCTTAACTTGTTCATCTTCCATTCTCCTCTCCAATAGGATATTGTACAATCTTTCAATAAGTTTCTCATCAGATTTAAGAATCACGTGAACAAATGCTGTTGACTCCTTATAGAAGCCCCACATTCTATGATCTTTGGCATATCTCGATTGCATTTGAACCTTGTGCCACCAAGAAATATTAACTCCTTGTTGAATGCATTGCGTCTTTTGTAAATCTAATTAAACCCACAAAGGAATATTCAAGCTTGTGTGAGTTTTAGATAAAAGAAACAGTGTTTTACTGGAGTGACCAGTATACTAGAGTGCAACTTCATCCTAGCAACAGTGTGTAATCAGAAGTCTGACTTGCTGTGAAATACTCTCAAATAAGGGTGCACAGAACTAGAGCCTCAAAGCATGAAGGGAATTACTGTACAAAGAAACCAATGATACAGTTATTAATCTTGACAGAGCTTGAGTTTTCCCCACAAATCATTACAATGCAGTCATGGATATAAGCCTATTCTTTTGAAAAAATAATAACAGATTTCTGGAAGCCTTCAACATGAAAATCTAACTACTTTTGTCTCCCTGTTACAAAGCAGCCTCCTGGGATTTTGGATCAATATTTTCCATAATGACAAATGAATTTATTAGAAGATATTTTCATTTTAATTAATCCACGTCAGCTCCCAAAGCCCTTTCACAAATAAGCACACTTGCATTTACGAAAGCAAGCCTACCCAGGTACTACATTCAGTAAACCAGTCCAGGCAATGTTCCACTGAAATATGCAAGACTGAACTGAGTTTGAAACCTCTCTATTCTGTAAACTCCCACTTATACCAACTCAACTGGTAAATAACTGCCCACTCCCCTAAATAACAAAACAACACAATCAGACCCTTCAGTTCTTCAGAAACCCTCCCCCATTTTCTCCTCTTGCCACCTGCTCCCAAAAGGGGAAAACATTTTATTCCTGAGCACTGGCATTTCTACAACTTTGTAATGGTATTAACTACTGGCCTGCAAAATTTACAACCTATTTAGGCAACTTTTAAGTTCAGTACATTTCAACAAAGGCAATAAAGACCTTTTCTACTGAAATAAACAAGGTCTTGTGGATCTTAGTATAAACTTAAAATGTCTATTCAGAAGTAAATACCACTGAGTTCAGTAAGGGCTACTTCTAGGTGAATTCGTATTTGTTGTTTATTTTATTTATTGCAACTGTGAGATTTAAAACTCCTTGAGACAGGATTCGAGTAGGTGCAAGCAGTTTATTCCATACAAAAAGCGTTTGCAAAGGCTGGCTCAATGCCTCAGTAGTCTGAGAAACAAAGAGCAATCTTTTGCTGTTTACAAGAGATTTTATACATTCCTTTCCCAGATGCTCAACACTATCCCTGCTTCGCCATTGGCTGGTTACTAAGAAGTCACAATCTTCCCCACCCGCCTATATCATACTACTCCTTAATATGTTCCCCCCTCCCGCTCATATATCCCGTGTTCATGCTAATGAGCCTATTACCTATGAGAGGTGTGTCATTTAGTATTCATAAACTTATTACACATGCGCAATACCTTCTAAGAGGTCAACAGGCCGAAGTGGCCTTGAAAATTCTTACTTGAGGCCAAAATGTTTCTTAAATCTTGGGAGGAGGATGAGATAATGAGAACAGGCCTTTCTCCAGGCTCATTATCGCCAGTTGTAAAGTAATCCATTGTCTGCTCTCCTCCACTGAAGGTGACAGTTTTACCACTGTCCCCCAATTTTACCTCTTCTGGTATTTTTTGAAACTTTTTATATAAGAAACATTATTACTCTTAGTACAACTTATTTACATGATTCCATTCTCAGGCCTCATGGCCCCAAGAGACTTCAATTATCCTGTCTTATTCCTGTTTTTCACCCTTAACACTTAGTAACATTTCATTTCTCACACAACTTAATACTGCTTTTGGGTGGTTTACAACAAAGGTATGAGATCCTTTTCTTTATAATCAGG